CTCCTGACCAAGCATCAGAGACTGGGGATTGATTAGTCGGAATGCATCGATGACGACCTTCCCCTTCACTGATTGTATAGGGTCGACGACGACGGCGACGGCTCTTGGCGTAAGCTGCTCGAAGCTCTGTTGGGTGTTGATATCGACTGATGACAGCCAGCATCCGAAACCAGGATGGGAGTGGTACCATCCAACGACTGATTCAGGTCTACGAAATTATCAGTAAAATCTTGGAGTAACAGATTTACGGTATAATCTTACCGTCCCGTTTGTGTTAACATGTCCATCATCTTTTGTTGAAATACCGGGTCGACAGCTTCGACACTGACACCGGTACCGCTCTGGGGCATGGCAAAAACATCCACGACTCGAACTGTGAAGTCATCGACGAATTCTCCCAACATAAGTCCCATGACTTCCATAGGAACACCCGCTCGCCCGTGTCGTAACATCTTCAGTAGCGCAAGAGAAGAGATGTAAACGGTCTCGGAGTTATCGATTAGGTTTTGGTTGTCCTAATTGTTTAAGCACTTCTGTTAGCAAAGTTTGAAGCCAACAAGTCCCAGTATCATAGCAGATCATGGACAAACAATAATAGTGCAAAATTTCTTACCGTTCCGGGGGCGGCGCCTAGTCCCATGCCGCTGGCACCGGCAAGCATTCTGTTCAACCGGTCCATGTTGATATGTTTGCGCTACTGCGAAGATAATTACAGTAGGCTGGGAAGAAAGTGTAGAGTTACGGTAACTCTAAAGATTGAGGATGGAAGAAGTGGGATCAAATGAGGCGTCAAAAAATTAACAACGTTCAATAATGTTGATGTTGATTGAAATTGTTAAAAAGGTGATGATTAAGTTGAAGCTTGTATCGAAATTGGCGGGTTGACGAAGCCTGGATCTGCCTGCACAACACAATTACCTAAGCAGCTGCCAAAGGCTAAATACTTTAATCGATAAGGGAGCTTTGGCCAACATTGGAAAAATACTTGGCACGTGACGAGGAAGTTGAAAGAAATCCGTGGACCCAATTTATCAGCCTCCATTTTCAGCCTTGCAGAGCTGCCGCATCCCGAGATCCCGCTGATGTGGGGTCGTCGCAGTAGCCACATAATCCCAGCACGGATACTTGGGTACTTCCATACAAGGGATCTCGGAATTTGCTACGACAGTTGAAGGAAGTTTATGACTGAGATAAGAGAAGAATTCTAACTTACAACAATTAGTCAAGTGATGTCTAGCCTGAAGCAAGGTGAAGTGATCCTTTCGAAGCAGAGGAATGATGTTTGGTGGAATTGACCTAGTAATGTCTCCATCTTGATCATGAAGCTTAGTTGTATGCCTCGATCTCTTGATATAGAGGAATTAGCTCCTTTCCACTGATATGGAGAATCTTGTGATCTTCTTGTAGCTAGAATCATCACGTAATCGAGTTCTACAAAGTTAGAAACTCGTAATATCACTGGCATAAAATGAACCAGTCATACCTCCTTTTCATACGAGAATTTCTACACAATGGCTGGGTAGCCAAGTTAATATCACGAAACATCCACTCCGAATGTAGTTCTCTTAATAAAAAGGTAAACACCTTGAGTTCTGCATTAATAAAAATCAAGTACTTATGACATGTACTGAATTTTTTCTTCTCCGTACACGATGGGATGCCTGAACCTGAACGCCGATGCTCGGCTACTGTACACTGCAAAGAATTTCCTATGAACACCGCCCCTTAAAAAATCCATTAGGCCATCCCATATCGTCGTCGTCTCCCAGCAAAAACAAAAGGCCCTAAATCGAAACCTAAAAGGAAAGCATGGGTATCATGAGAGAAGCGTAGAAATAATTCTACGGGGATGCGGCGTCTTTGGGAGGGGTGCCTGCAGATTTGGGAGAAGTGACGCCGGTGCTCTCTGTCGGCTTCTCTTTCTTGACGTCGACACCATCATCCTCTTGCGACGGGTCTGCCGCGGCGATAGGAGTGTCCATATCGACATCGCCGTCCTTATCAATCTTCTCGGGTTCAGACGAGTGCTTGGATTCCGGCGTCTTGTTGTATGCCTTTTCGCTTCCTACAGCTGGTGACTTGTTGTCGTCCGCATCCTCCATCTCCTCGTCGACTTCATTGGCCGGCTCGGCTTTGTCCCCGGCACTATCCTCTGCGCCAGTGGTCTTATCGCTCTCGCTGCCGTCTTTATCAGACTTGGTAGCTTCTCGAGACTCTTTGACAGCCTCTTCCTTGTCAGAAACACCAGCGGCCTTAACCTCTTCTTCGGCGTCCTTTTCATCCGATTTCACAGGGCCGCGAGCTTCGGCTTCGGTGTCGACCTCCTTTTCGGTTACGTCCTCCATGACCACATCATCCGTCTCCTTAGACTTGATGACACTCTCGGTGGTACCATTCGCTGGAGTCATGGCGGCGCTATCAACCTCAACGTCCGAATTACGATAGTCCATGAAGGATGGACGGGTACTGCCGTTTCGGTGAACACCATTTGCCCTGTCCATATCTTCGTTGTCGCTTTCCTCGTACTCGTTGTCGCGCTCGATGCGCTGCTCCCATTGACGCTGCGTCATCCGAACATCCTTGTTCTCGTCCTCATCCAGATCATCCAACTCAGCCTCTTCCTCATCGGACATCGCTCCCATTGAGTGGCGGGGGACATCCTGCATCTGCACTGACGGGGCGTGTGCAGTGCGTCGGAGGTTCTCGATAAGCTGGTTCTTGATTTTATCCAGATATTCTGGGCTATTCGCGTTCTCCATATTGGAGGAGCGGACATCAAGGGTGAAGTCGGGGCCGTAATACTAGATCCATAATTAGCATTAGAACCGATTAGCAGACAAAAGAATGATCTTACTTCGTAGTACTCGTTAAAGGGCAGTGTTCGATCCATGGGAGCATCGACAAGTAAACCAGTTTCGAATGCCCAGGTTCTAGCGACATTGCGCATGGTGTAGCCGCCACCTCCCAGGACTAGAGTTGGGCGGTTGAAGCTTCGAACAAACTTCACACAGTTGGCATGCCCGTCCATACTCAAATTGAAACAACCCAAACGGTCACCTGACAGACTATCGCCACCACATTGAAGAACTACAGCTTCTGGGTTGTAGAACTCCATGACGCTCGAGATGACAGGTTCGAAGATTGACTTGTATGACGCATCATCTATACCGTCTCGGAGAGGAAAGTTAGTCGCATAGTAACGACCTTGACCAATACCAATATCCCTAAGTTCGCCAGTTCCCGGGAAGTATTCGCCATATTTATGGAACGAAACGGTCATGACGCGATCGGTGGTGTAAAAGGCCTCCTCTACTCCGTCGCCGTGGTGAACATCGATGTCGATGTAGAGGACACGCTTGTTGAACCGAAGAAGTTCGAGAATACCAAGGACGATGTCTATTAAGCAGGCGAATTGTTAGATCCAGTAGACATGCAAGGAGCTAAAGGTACAAAGCCAGATTACGTAATACATACCATTGACATAACAGAAGCCGCTCGCCTCTGACTTTTTTGCGTGGTGTAGCCCACCAGCCCAGTTAACAGCAATGTCGCACTTCTGGCGGTTAAGGCGTGCCGCGCCCTCCATACTGCCGCCGGCGCTAATTCCACAGAATTCGAAAAGGCCATCGAATACTGGACAATCATCACCGACGTTGTATTTACCCTGCTCCCGCTGGAAGTTGTCCATGTTCTCGGGAGTGACGCGCTGGAGGAAGTCGATGTACTCGTCCGTATGAAATTGTGTCATCTCGAGTCGCGTCGCGGGTTTAGCGCGCTAGAGGTCATAAGTAATTTATTCGCGAGAAATTATAGCATCGGAAGCACTTACGTAGATTTCCATCTTCTTGTAGACACCATAGTTCATGATAAGACTATGCGCCAGCCGAATGCGATGGGGCTTCATTGGGTGACCCGACACATAGGCGAAATTGCCAATGTCGGAGTCATAGAAGTAGGCAACTTTCTTGGGAGACGGAGCTCCCAAGGCGACACCATTGCCGTTCCAGATATCCACAGGTGCGTGCGTCATGGTGAATTATTTTACCATTAATCGCAGGTTTGGTGAAGATTCTGGGTTGATGGTTTGGTGAAGAAGATGGGAAGAAATCAAAAGATCAACCTCAATTGGAGCTAGGTAAGTTGATTTACGTTCCAACTGGGGCCCTAGGATCTATTCTTATCGATAATGTTAGCGCACCACCGCTAAGTCAATCTTGGTTTAGCGTTGTCACCCGTAAAGTGATACGTACCTGAATTTTTAAATCAATCCCGAGGAATTTCCGTCTCCCATATGACGTAGGCTCACGATACTTAGGCTAGGTATGTTCACTGAAGCACCACGCATGTGACAAAGAAAGAGAAAGCAGTCAATGATATCAAGAGAATCTCTGTGAAATCTGGTGCTATTTATGGGGGAAAATATTGAGTATTTAAGACTGTATCATGGCTGTAATAGTTGACGCCATTGAAACTTTCATTTCATAGCTCTTCTAAAGCGGCTGATACTTCAATTTGTAAAGTTCATATACTCGGGTATAGACATAATAATATATTCATAATAACAGATACAGTAGCAAGACCCAACAATAGGGTTGCAGCAATCATTTTGCTCTTGCTTGCCGTAAGCTGGACCTTAATATAGGATCCATAATGTCCAAAGGTTTGCATTACTAGGCGAATATGTCCCTTATACCTATCTGTTCTCTTCTCTAACTGAGCTCGACAAACTAATATGCATGTTTTTGATATTTTAACTTGTATCACAACTAGGTAGGCAGTTGTATCAAGAAATTGCCATGTATGCCATAAAAAGAGTAGGAGACGTGATGCGAAGCCACTGCTAAAGAGGCGTTTAAGTTGAGAGCCAACGCTATCTCATGCAGCTAGATACATGTTAGCATCTAGACGATCTCAAAAAAAAAAAAAAAAAAACCGAACCGGTCTGCCGGTCTAGTCTAGACCTAAGTATTAGAAATAACTAAAAATTGGAAAAAGTAAATCGACACCTGTGTGATTCGAACACACGCCCCCGAAGGGAATGCCTACACTGTTACCGACAATTGTTATCAATAATAGCAGGGCATCGCGTTAACCACTCCGCCAAAGTGCCTTAAGCGTTGGAATTTTGGGCTTTTGCAGTGGTATATATTGTTTGTCAGGTGGTTCAGCGAGTGGGGGAGCGGGGAACAAAGAGCCAGTACGAATATTCGAGTTACGTAAGTCGAAAGTCAGAAACCACACGCTGGAAGCTTGACTCTGCAAAAGATTAAGGAAATACTACCTTTAATGGTATAACTTTTGGACTGTAGGCTATCCCGCCGCGGACGCATGGAGCTATGCCTATGATAGCATAAGCGAGCTGGCTACCTTCGCTAGCTTCCCCCTACTATCCACTTAGCGTATAATATTTCCCCCGTCAGCTAAGTTCATTATTAATGTTTAGATTATTAATTGCTAGAGGCGTTTTTGTTTCATTGACGATGCATGCTCGCAATTACATGCGTAAGTGACTCACCATGCGTGCCCTTGTCCGCCCTCGATAGCGGGGTTTCAATGTACAATACAGAGTTCCGGAGTTGATGATAGGTACATGGAGACCAACGGGGCCAGCTGGGAATGTGATTGGAATCCTCCTTTCCCGATCTGTAGACCCAATGGCGTATGGTTCATTCTTTCTGCAGCGTTTATCTCGATATGTGATGTCTTTCATCTATGCTGTCGGTGTGCATTTTACAGCTGTATATGCGGGAATAGCAACCCCGCGGTTCCACTACCAAAAGGAGAAATCTCCTTAAAGGCTTTCCATATTGTTGAACCAGCAGCTTCATAATGTTTAGTCATAAATCTGCTTATCAAGATAATTATTAGTGCAACTACTTAAGCTGCCTGTGTGTCTATTCCATGCATGGTCTTATAGCTTCTTAACTTCTTTAGCTATTCAAAAAAAAACTTTCGATTATAATCACTGCTATTAGTCTACATCCTCACCATGTCTGAGCAGGAGATCGTGTTCTTTGACTTACCCTCCAGACCACCTTGCAAGACATGGACTGCAAACCTATGGAAGAGTACGTGCTATCGTCCTCAGAAATAAACACATTATCTAAATTAACGGGAAACAGCTCGGTTGTTTCTGAACTACAAGGGGCTCCCCTATAAGACAGAATGGGTAGGCTTCATCGATGCTCTTGTAATCGATATTAATTAGAGCATTGCTAACTCGCAATGGTAGATCGAGTACCCAGATATCAAGCCCAGGTTTGAGGGCCAGTGAGTCTACCCATAACGAGCCTTCTTCGTTTAGAGTTGTCCATTGGCATTCGTTAACGGTGGCAATGTAGCCTCCCGAAAGCCGACATTTACACTTGCCCAACCGTCATCTTACCTGACGGGAAATGGGTAATGGACTCCACGAAGATAGCTGAAGCGCTCGAGGAGAGATATCCGGAGCCAAGCACGCATCTCGACTCGCCCTACCTACCGAAAGTCTCTGAGTCCCTAACCGGCATTATGATCGCCATCAGGGCCGTCTACATCCCCGGGGTCTTCTTCAACCTGTTGAACGAGGCCAGCCTCGGGTACTTCCGCAGGACGCGTGAAGAATTCCTCGGCGTCACCATTGAGGAATTCGCGAAGGGTGCCGCTGGGGCGTGGGAAAAGGCCGCGCCGCATGCGGAGAAGATAACCGCGCTGCTGAAGGAAAACTCCGACGGCCCGTTCTTCGAGGGCAAGACTGTGGGATACGTCGATTTCATATGGGCGGGCTACCTCCTCTTCATGGAGGCCATCGGCAAGGATGTGCTGGCGGAGGCGCTGAAGGTTACTGGAGACGCGGAAGTTCACCTGAAGCTGCTAGAGGCCGTGAGGCCTTGGTCTGAGAGGGCTGACCACTAGTCACATGAATGTTTCTGGTGTGATGAGAGTGTCCTCCCAGTCTATGGGTACTGAACGAAGTACTGGGTTAACATTTAACATGAGAATAGCCTAGTTGGTAGCTTGTATAAGCTCGAATGAGGCTCTACCTATTAGCATAAACATGAGAATGATGCTAGGTAATCTAGGCAAAAGTTTCTTAATCCTGATGAAGGAGCGGAGAATCATCGTGAAAATTTCCTAAGCATATTAAATCCCGCTCCCCAACTCGTGTCATGCCATGATGTTAAGATCATGTGAGCGGACATCTCTTAGTCGTGGCTAACTGGAGATGCAATATTCGGCCCAAGGGTTGCATATTTGACCAGGCTTACTCTCTATTTCTATGTCCATAAAACACCGATATTCAAACTGATAAGGAGTATTGATGCGATATGGCTTGGATGAAAGTCAATGGCGAAAAGCGTCGAGGATGAAAGAGAGTTGTAAAAAGGCGAAAAGGTAAAAAGGCACGAAGGTACTTACTTGTAACTGGTAGTAGCGACTGGAATATCACGTGATTTGACTGCTCTTTTTGGCAATCGCTTCTACAATTTATGGGTCCATAGGGTTTTCCCCACCAAGTCGCACATTTCGCGGTTTCCGTACCCTCCACCACCATTAACAAATTTGGAGCCCATTAACCTTTTTCGAACTTTTTTATTTTTATTTCGTGACAACGACCAACCACGACAACTTCGTCTTTCCGACCCAGCACCACACTCGACCGTAAAGAACCCCAAACAATTTATTCGCAATGGCCAAGCTTTCGTAAGTCTATCTTTATTCGATCTCGGATTGTGCGGTTCCTACTGGAGATTTGGAGGGGTACGACAAGAGATGGGAATTGAATTGTTATTTTTGGCGGGGAATTGGTGATGGAACAGCTGCTAGCAAGATAAGAGGAGAGATGTCAGAGACTTTTGTTGGCATATTAGCGACCGTGAGATAGCACCAGAGCGGGATTTTGATCTCCGAGCTTCAGTATAGTCGGGATTGTTATGGAATAGGTCGCAAGAGACGGATAGTGACAATGTCATTTCAAGCAAGCGGGACGGCAATATTTTGAAGCAGCTTCGCTAACAAACCGCTTTACAGACGTGGCGCCCCCGGTGGCAAGCTGAAGATGACCCTCGGTCTACCTGTGTAAGTGCAGGAATCCCCATCTCGAACCGAATATCATCGAATGCCCGTGTACTAACGGGTCGAACAGCGGCGCTATCATGAACTGCGCAGACAACTCCGGCGCCCGAAACTTGTACATCATCTCCGTGAAGGGTATTGGTGCCCGCCTGAACAGACTGCCCGCTGGTGGTGTTGGTGACATGGTCATGGCCACCGTCAAGAAGGGCAAGCCCGAGCTCCGAAAGAAGGTCCACCCCGCCGTCATCGTCCGACAGTCCAAGCCCTGGAAGCGAACTGACGGTGTCTTCCTGTACTTCGAGGACAACGCTGGTGTTGTGAGTTTCCTTTTATTTTATATTTCGGCTTCAAGATTTGTCACCTGGTTTCCTGTCGGCCTAGACAGGACATTCAAGGACGTTATGCCGGGAAATTTCACGTGACCGAGGACGGATGATGAAGGCCTATGGCAGCTACATACGACTATATCTGGACTGTTGGGAATCGAGTGCTGATACAAGAATTTCCAGATCGTCAACCCCAAGGGTGAGATGAAGGGCTCTGCCATCACTGGCCCCGTCGGCAAGGAGGCTGCTGAATTATGGCCCGTAAGCTGCTTTGCCATATAACCCTCGGCTCTACATATTCTAACTCATTGCATAGCGTATTGCCAGTAACTCCGGTGTTGTGATGTAAATGGAGAGCGTTTCGAGAGAGCATTGGGGAGAGGCGGAATTGACACAAACCTACCTTATTGACGACGAGTCATCACGATTGGAAGACACCGACACGGCCAGCCACTTTCATGACGGACGGAAGGAATGACGCAGACACCTAATAGAGTGTCTGGCTGGAGGACTGGTCACTTTGCATTTCGGCTACGGGGCGTAAAGGAGACATACCAAAAGAACAGCATCCTGGACAAATGAAATGTTCAGTCAACGATTCTTACTTGCGATCATATCAAGTGACTTTCATGTTTGATTCTGGGCTCAGTCAAACTCATGCGTTCAACCGTAATTGCAATAGAGGTGTCAGGGACCACGTGACATGCAGGTGTTTTGTGATAAGATTATGCCACCAAATTTCGACTTACAGCCTATTGGCTACCTCTAATAAGACCTGCCTATGTGCTGAAGCACCTTGCCGTCTTGAAAACTAAAAATACTGGCAAATAGCTTTCATGGCATATTCACAGAGTTAGTTGCGAGGATAGAAGACGACTGCCTCGAACACAATTCCTACGTACAAGTAAGAGAGGGGTGGGATCTTAAATCACAGTCGAATAATAAGCACCAATGACAATTTTTGATGTTGTTTTTTATTAAGCCGGACGGTGAAATGTACTACGTTTGCCTAGAATGGTATGACGGCACTAACCTTTCCACCATATCGTAGGTATATTGCTCTAGGTAGTGTCAAGATCAACATCAATAGTAGATCCCTCTCTTCAACAACATTCAATCTATTTGAGGTCCATTCTGCAGTATATATCATTTACGATACCTGCGTCTGCTTTTATAAACGTACCACCATCAAATCAAGCCCTCTCACGCGAAGAATCTACTCATATCACACATGTCACACATCCATAGTAATCTCATTCCATGATGTAGAAGTCGTCTTTTCGTATAAACCTCTATGTCCCCATCTATGCCTTCCAGGTACTATACCTCTCCCAGGTATGTACAAAAAAACAATGCTCGCTAGTGTATTGGTAGGGGCGGATGGGAAGTTGGTCCAAGTATCCTAATGTTCCCACCCACCGATGCAAGATGATGATGATGATGCCGGTATGCTCCTTTCCTAAACGCCGATGCTGAATTCCAATGCCTTCCATGTACAAGTATACAACGCTGCGTCCCATCCAGCCCTATGTCTATGCCTAGGGTCTCGTATAAGCAGCTCCCATTTGCTCTCGCACTCCCCGGGGATGTTGTACCGGGGTGGAGTACAAGTTTCCAAGTTGTACTCCACCCTCGGCAGCGATGTGAATTGTGGGGGGATGATACGGGGATAGTGTAGGTCCAGGTATCCTACTGCCCGCCCAACCCTCTACTGTACATCCCCAGGGGT